CGTAAGCAGATTTACCTGCAAACCTTTTCGTAAACCTCAAAGTGCCGTGTTCCTGAGGCATCGACAGATTATTCTGATTCGAAGTTGTTTGTTCCATCCCAAACAAGCCATGTTATCACACCAGAAGTGTCTTATCGCTCCAGTAGAAATTCGACTTAATGTGGGCAAATGTTTACCTACATTCACACAAGAATGCGCCTACATCATACAATTTATCTGTGAAACTGAATGGTCATGACGAGTGAAGACCTCTGGGTCTGATACAGCACTCCCATTAGTGAAGCTCCACTCACCGATCCAATAGGTTGGGTGATTTGGCAAGTCTGCCCCGATTTCGCCAGTCTGGCTCGTTCTTCGGTTCTGCTGACCCACGAAATTGATCTCGTCTCCTCATCTAGGATTTCATTCCATCATGGCAAATCTAACTCATGAATAACAACGTGAGCCAGAGCATGTGTCCTTTAAAAGGATGTAGCACACAGTGGAATTAACAAAGGGTCTTTTGATGCTTTTGCATTTCACTCAGTCCAGCTTACTAAAAGGCCCACTTATCCAGGCTGGATTGCGGATTCGAACGGTGTGCTCAATGTGATTGGAAATCGGTTCTTTTGCGTAAGTCTACTCAGTTCCATGGACTACTCATCCGCTATATAGTAGTGCGGTTTATCCTAATGACAGATAAAAGTTTGCTTTATCAATACAAGTTGGATGAAGTGTGAATCGTCACTTAATTCGCTCGTCCTCTGATCCGCTGATATCCATGTCTGCAGGTGGGAATGGAAGCCTTTCGAATACCGTTGGAGCACTGATGATACTCAGGCGAGGTAAAACATTCGCCCATCATCATCATTATCAATCCCATCATTGGATTTTATGCAAAAGAGAATAGGATAAGTCATCCTATTATCACCACCGCCACCAAGATCGTTAACAACGTAATCACTGACAACGTCAACAGGATCCCTCATTTCCTTTCAACTATGCTTCCCTTCAACCCCTTCCTTCACAGCCTCTGTCGAGGCCTGCCTCCAGTACGGTCTGAAACGACGTGCTCTGGGCCTGTTCCGCGAGAGTTCCACACTGGCGCTGGTGCATCGGATCTCGAAGACGTGTTCTGCCGCCAGCCAGACAGTCGGCCGTCTGGGTTTCTACGAGGCCGCCTTGGAGGGGCATCCGACCGTGCAAGGCGCAAACGGACACGTCTTCGGTTGTTCGGCGGCTCCTTCTCTGGGCATGACGGCGTCCTCCATGTCGTCCCCACCGGCTTCGGTACCGACTAGCCCTCCTTGCCCGATATCCGGACCCGTTGCATCAATCAGCGAGATTGGGGTCGGGCTGACCTCCTTTTTCACCTCCTCCCAGACTTCCCTGCTGCCCTCGGGGGGCACCGGCAAAAGTGGAACTTTTGGCGCCCTCTTCCCAGAGGCTTCACGGTGGGCAGCTTTTTTGGCTTATCCTTTTTTTATATGTGAATAGGGTATGGGCTTTAAAAACTCCCTTAATTACCTCGTGTTGTTTTGTTCTTCCCTTCGGAATTCAGTCACCACAGTTTGATTTAAGTCATTTAAAGGATTCCAGTGGAATCTTTTTCACAATTAACTCCCCAC